GTCTAACTATTTAGTAACTGAGACTGATGCAGTTGTGTAATAACAAAACAATATAAATGGTAACTTGCGTTAAGGTTTTTGGCCAACTTGTGTTGGCCAGTTGAGTCTCTACATCAAGATAAACTTCAATATGAAGTTTACCTGGACTTGCGCAAAGCGAGGAGGACTGTGAACACACTCAACTGACTCGCACGTGGGGTGCTGGAAAACACATATATCCATCTAATTGATGTTTATTCTTATGTGCTCAACAGGTAGAACATCTGCACTCAGGTAACACAGGCCTGCAATGGATTCAGGGGCACCTTATTGAACACGCCTGAGATGCTTGCCCTGCTGTTGAAGAAGATCAAAGCCCAGCAGCAAACTCTGCCTGCCAGAATCCTTGAAATACAGCCCCAGACAGCAAGTGGGTGCTCTCCATGTCTCACTCTCCTGCTAACAAGGACTCTTGCTCACTCCGTGGTGCCTGTGTGCCTCTCCCCGGGTGCTGCTTCAGAGGTTACCCCATCCGTGAGGTATTGAGATGAAATTTGGTTTTTGGCTTTCATCCGTGGTTTTGTGGTTGTTCCTGTGTCCTGCTTGCATCAGTTCACACCAACACTATTCCACAGGACGTCCTGATCTCTAAATGGGAGACGTGTGGACTTGACAGACAGACCACTACGTGGATAAGAAATTGGCTAAATGGCTGCACTCAAAGGGTTGCAGTCAACAGCTCATTGACCAAATGGAAACCAGTGATGAGTGATGTTCCTCAGGGGTCAGTATTGGGACTGGTGCTGTTTGACACCCTTGTCGGTGACATGAGGGTGAGTGCACCCTCAGCAAGTTTGCTGACAACACCAAACTGTGTGGAGCAGCTGACGCTCTGGAGGGAAGGGATGCCATCCAGAGGGACCTGGACAGGCTGGAGAGGTGGGCCCGTGTGAACCTCATGAAGGTCAAGCACAAGGTCCTGCACATGGCTTGGGGCAATGCCGAGCACAAATATGGAGTGGGCAGAGAATGGCTGGAGAGCAGCCCTGAGGAGAAGGTCTTGGGGGCGTTGATGGATGAGAAGCTCAACATGAGCTGGCAATGTGCGCTGGCAGCTGGATGATAAGGCATCTTATCATCTAGCTGATGAGATTGTTTAGTGAAGATGGAGCCAGACTCTTCTTGGTGGTGCCTGGTGACAGAACAAGAGGCAGAGGGTGCAAATTGAAACCCAGGAAATTCCATCTGGACACAATAAAATAGTTTTTTACTGTGAGGGTGATTGAACACCGGAGCAGGTTGCCTGGAGAGTTTCTAGAGTCTCCTTCTTTACTCAAGGAGATACTCAAACCTGACTGGAGACCATCCTGGGCAATATTATCTAGCTGACCCTGCTTTGAGCAACTGGAGTTGGACTAGACAGTCTCCAGTCTTCCAACTTCAGCTATTCAGGGATTCTGTGAATTAGAGCTTTTCTAAGCTAATTTAGTCTGTTTATTATGAGGGAAAGAGAGGGATCCAGAAGAGAAGATTACCATTCAAACGGCCAGTCGAAGGTCTGATCAAGAGAGGGATCCAGAAGAGAAGATTACCATCCAGACGGCCAGTTAAAGGTCTGGTCTGATGTAAGGAACCATTTTATGAAAGTAACAGAGTGTCTTTTTTCCCTCCTTGCACCATCTCCTTTGAGTCTCTACCTCATTAGGCACTTTATACTCTGGTGCAAAACACTTCCCCAGTCAAGCTGCTGGAAACCTATGGAGAGAGGTACCACATCTCTGTCCAGGCTGAGCTGGCCGGACTAAAAGTGTCAAGGTTTGCTGCAGGGGAGAGGTTTTAACTAGGAGGATCAGAGCTGGCCAAGTGGTGGAGAAGGACCTTCTTGCCAAGGAGAGTTTTGACCAGAGCTAGCAAGTTGTAACGTGGTGAAAAGGCTGCACATCCCTTGGCCAACAGTAGACACTTTCTGTCTGGGTCTAAGGAGTCCCCCAGGAAAGATGGCAGGTGAGAATAAGATGCAGTTAGAGGAATGTTCCTGGTTGGCTGCTGACAGCCTGTCCATCTCTGGTGGTACAGCCCTGGCCTGGCCTCCATTCCTGTCTCTGGTTTCACGGGGTTTGTGGTGGTGGCTGCATTCATGTGTTTCACAGAGACAGGCTCAGGAGCAGGACTCTGCTCCATCCTGGTTCGTTTTCCAAACTGAAACCAAAATACTGAGGCTGATTCTTCTATGTCTGGGCTTTGTCGTTTCTGCTACTGGTCTTGATTTCCCAAACTGGGAGGGGTTGAGGGGGAACCCTATTGTTGCACATTTGAAACGCGTTGCCCTAGATGTCTTCTTTTTATAGTCTTGCCACATTTTTTGTTATCAGCATTTCTGTTAACCACTTCTAACTTTTCATCAGTCAAGTTCCTTCTTTTTTAAAAAAAAAAAACAAAAAAAAAGACCAAAAAACCTCCCAAAAACCAACAAGACTTTAAATGCCCTGCAAGGTCAAAAATTAGATTAAAATGCCTTTGACATGACCAATTATGGTTTGTTGAGTACAATGTTCTGTATTTGGTGAACTAAGCTGTCTCAAGCTGGGACAGGAGCTGATCTGGATCGGTAAGAATCTCAGAAATGGGATTAGGTAGATGAATGTGCAGATCTAACAAAACATGGAATTGGCTACAAGACAACAGCTCAGACACCTGATGGCAGAGTTTGGAATTACGAATTACATCAAGGAAAGGTCAGCATTATGCCAACAGGCAAGTCATCTGATTGAGTTGTCTGATAGAAACTATATTAAAATATATCTGTCTGTGCCTACCATTCCCTTGATTTCTATTATTCTTTGACTCAGGGGACTATTTTATTTTGATGGGGTTGAGACAACTTCTTTTAGTTTGACTGTTTGTTTATTTTATCAGCAGATCTTATCTGAGACCTCAAACATGAGCCATTCTAAGCCTTTCTTGTCAGGGTGAAAGAACGCACTCAGCACACCCATGCACATAGAGGGAAAAAAAAGCAGTTCCTAAAATGTCACGTGAGTTTCTTTTTTCAGTCGCTCCAGAGACAGGACTGATGGTGCTTGTCCCCCGACACGCTGAAATATCTGCTTCACTTGGGTAGGTATTATAAGCTGCAGAATTCTGCTTTCCTCTTCAACTTGCAATTTTCTTATTCGCTCCTGAAAACCTCTCTCTCCCCTCCGGTTCCCACTTCCATCTTCATCATTCCGTAGCAGCCCTTTGAGCGTTCTTGAAAACGTAGCGTGGGCAGTGTCTTCTTATTGATTCATCCCTCCCTTTGCTTTGTATTTGATTTGTATTACTGTTTATCTTCACCATTCCTTGGTTCCCTGTGCTCTTCGTACCATCTTCTGTAGCTGTACACCCTCAGTAAGTTCACAGACGACACCAAGCTGGGTGGCAGTGTTGATCTGCTGGAGGGTAGAGAGGCTCTGCAGAGAGATCTCGACAGGCTGGATCGATGGGCTGAGACCAACGGGATGAGGTTCAACAAGGCCAAGTGCCAGGTCCTGCCCTTGGGTCACACCAACCCCCTGCAGCGCTACAGGCTGGGGGCAGAGTGGCTGGAGCTGCCTGGCAGCAAAGGGCCTGGAGGTGTTGGTTGGCTGTGGGCTCAACTGGAGCCAGCAGTGTGCCCAGGTGGCCAAGGAGGCCACCAGCATCCTGGCCTGTATCAGGAACAGTGTGGTGAGTAGGGCCTGAGAGGTGATGGTCCCCCTGTACTGGGCACTGGTGAGGCCTCACCTTGAGTGCTGTGTCCAGTTTTGGGCCCCCCACCATAAAAAAGACATTGAGGTGCTGGGGCGGGTCCAGAGAAGGGCAACAAAGATGGTGAGGGGTCTGGAGAATAAGTCTTATGAGGAGAGGCTGAGGGAGCTGGGGGGGTTCAGCCTGGAGAAGAGGAGGCTGAGGGGAGACCTTATTGCTCTCTCCAACTCCCTGAAAGGAGGGTGTAGAGAGGTGGGGGTCGGTCTCTTCTCCCAAGTCACAGGTGACAGGACAAGAGGAAATGGCCTCAAGTTGCGCCAGGGGAGGTTCAGGCTGGATATTAGGAAAAAATTTTTCACGGAAAGGGTTCTCAGGCATTGGAATGGGCTGCCCAGGGAGGCGGTTGAGGCACCATCCCTGGAGGCGTTGAAAAGACGGGTTGATGTAGTGCTGGGAGGGATGGTTTAGTGATGATGCTCCTTGTTTGTTGTGTGGGTGTTTATTTTTGTCAAAATTAGGTTGACGGTTGGACAAGATGATCTTTAAGGTCCCTTCCAACCTAGAAGATTCTGTGATTCTGTGATTCTGTACGGGGAGGCAGCGAGGTTCAGCTCTTGCAGCACTCTTCTCGAGTTGTCCCTGTAAAAATCACTTCTGCGTATATCAGCAAGACCTCAAACTTGTTAGAATATAAGTTAAGTCCCCAGTTGCCTTCCAGTGACTTCTTTCATAGCTTTCCTTGCAGGTCACCCTCACATAAAAGCCTCGTAGCAATTGTTACGAAAAAGTGGCAAATGACTCAGTTTCTTCCTTGTGAAGCGTTTCTAAAACTGCTGCATTTAGGGTACATATTGTGCAAAAAAAAAAAGAGATTGAGGATTTGGGTTATTTTTTCAAAAATAATATTAAGATTTAGTCCTGCACAGAACAGCAGCTGAATGGCATTTAAGTACTGGAGTAATAGAGGTTAAAATAAAATCAGCCTGGGTTATCTTAGACATGTCTTCTCCGTTGTTTCTGCATACTGTGTTCAGCTCTTACCTGGGCAGTCTCCTTGCAGTTCTGGCAAAGCTTTTAGGGACCTTTCAGCAACACAACTGTCTTCATTGATTCGGCAAGGCTTTAGTTAACAGGGATTTTTATAAACAATTCTATTAATGCCCGAAGAATTAAGATCAGGCTCTCTTTCTTAGTTCTGTCTTTACTTTGCTAGATTGCCTTTACTTTCCTTTTTAAATTTACTAATGTCTAAGACCAAGAATAATTGAGGAATTAAAGTTTTTCCATTCCTATTCTCATAGTTTTAAAATGTCCCTTAAGTATGCTGTGGCTCAGCTTCCTTGTCTTGCAATAAGGTGTCTTTTCTTGTATCTAAAATGGCTCAAGAACGTTACTGCTATTGAACATTACTGCTATCGCTCTGTTTTACTTCGTCTTTCTACGACTAAATCTCTGTCTGCTCTTCTTAACCCATTCATTCCTTTCTTTTCTGCTCATCAAGATGTTACTTTCTAAGGAGCCAGTGGAGAGCTCAGAACAAAAGCAAGAAGGAAGAGCTTACTAATGCTTCCCTAGAAATAGCCCTTAGCAGAGTTGTGGTCCTGTCTGTTCTAGTTACAATGTCCAGAAAGTGGAGCAGGATTACTTCATCCAAGACAAGCATTGCTTCCTCAACCTAAACCTATTTCACTGCTTATCCCAGAAGAAAGCATTCATTTTTAAAGGGAAAAGGAATGAAAATGTTGACTTACCTGTCTGAAGAAGCGTATACGAAGCTGGAAGTCAGTCAAGAAAGACACCTGGTGTGAACACAGAGCTTCCTTTGGAGTGGAGACAAAAAGGAACCAGAGTGAAATCAAAGGGGATGACAGAGCCAGGAGAACTTGAGCGTAGAGCAACCCCCTGTTTGAATGGTGGGGCTGATGTAGCTTGGCCACCATGAGAACCATGAAGGTGTATAATGGACAGATTAGTAGTAAGCTTTTAGCACAAACTTGTACAGACCCATCTCTGTAGCCTGACAGCTCCGTACTGTCCCCTGACTTGGAGAGGCTTCAGTACAGAGAAGAATTTGGGGAGTGAATTGCCTAATAATTTTCTCTCTGTTTTATAGCTACAGAATGCCCCAACTCCTGGGCAACAGCAGTTCCCATGAAGAGGCTGCGGTGTCCTATGCAGCAGGATCCATCGTCTCCATTGTTGTCTTCATCATAGTTTTCATGATAGGTGTCCCAGGCAATGGGTTGGTGATCTGGGTTGCTGGTCTGAAAATGAAAAGGTCTGTGAACATTATCTGGATCCTAAACCTTGCTGTGGCCGACTTCATGTGCTGCTTGTCCTTGCCTTTTTCCGTCGTTCACCTGGCCCTCCATGAACACTGGCCACATGGTTGGTTCCTCTGCAAGGTCATTCCGTCGGTCATCATCTTCACCATGTTTGCTAGCGTCTTCATCCTCGTGGCCATCAGCATCGACCGCTGCCTCCTGGTGATGAAACCTGTCTGGTGCCAAAACCATCGAACGGTCAAATTTGTCTCGCTGCTCTGCAGCTGCATTTGGATCCTGGCCTTCATCTTCTGCTGCCCCGTCCTTCGCTACCGTGAGACGAACACTCAAGATGGCAAAACCGTGTGCGGGTACAATTTTGGAGACGAGGGAGTGCAAGATTATCTGAATGATTCCGTAAACGAGTTATTAGCCTACGATGGTAACGACTCAGGGGTAATTTTTTACGAAAGTGATTATTCTGTCCCCTTTGCCGTAACGGTAATAAATAGCACCAGGGCTGCCCTTGGCTTTGTGCTCCCCTTCGGCATCATGGCGTTTTGCTACGCCCTGATCGCTCTCCGAATGCGCGCCGATCGCTTTCACAAGCCACGCAACAGGATGCTGCAAACAATCACGCTGGTGGTGGCCGCCTTCTTCATCTGCTGGGCTCCCTACCACGTGGTCGGGCTTCTGCTCCTCGTGCCGAGGCTGAGGGAGTCCTTGAGCTTCTGGGATCACCTCTCTATAGCCTTTGCGTACGCCAACAGCTGCATCAACCCTGTGCTTTACGTTTTTGTGGGACGGGACTTCAGGGCAAAGGCCCGGCAGTCACTGCAAGGCATCTTGGAAGGTGCCTTCACTGAGGAACCGACGCGTTCCAGCCCTTGCTCCCCCGACAGAAGCAAGACTTCAACAGAGAAGGATGTCAGCAGCACAGTGTAACGCGCGACTTCACGTCACCCCTGTAGAAAGAGTGAGCTATGGCCCCCCCCCCAATCAATCACTCTCCACGTTGCAGCTTTTTTTTTTTTTCCTCCCAACACATTTGATGACCCTGCAGATCTCACACCGAGATGGCTCAAGTCAAAACAGCTCGACCCCCTTTATGTCCTGCTCTAGAGAGATGGGGAGTTGGGGAGAGTTATAACCTGAGGGAAGACTCGAGTGAAGTAGGAGACACGGAGTACGTTAACCTTTAGAGAAGAAAGCAGGCTCGCAGAAGAATTTGTGGTGAGATCAAGCAATTTAACCTCTGAATTTCTAGATGATAATGTTATTGGAGTTATTTGCATACGTCTTATGTTCTGTATCTCCTGTCTCTGATAAAACTGCAGATAAAACTAACTTTGGTGTCTCTCATTGGAATCTGTCGTCCCACAGAATTTGTGGTGAGATCAAGCAATTTAACCTCTGAATTTCTAGATGATAATGTTATTGGAGTTATTTGCATACGTCTTATGTTCTGTATCTCCTGTCTCTGATAAACTGCAGATAAAACTAACTCTGGTGTCTCTCATTGGAATCCGTCATCCCATCTTTCCTCCCCTTTGACTATACTTGGGGTCTCAGGGCTTCTCCCTGAAGATTTACCCAGAGGGCAGTGCTACATCTTCTTTTAGCAGTGCGTTAGAACAGCACTTGCCCCTACCAGTCCCAAATCTTCCTTTTAGGAAGCAGTCCAAGCTTATCCAAATGTACCTATTGCATCTTAAGATGGCACAGGAGCAGAATTTAAGCTTTTTTTTTTTTTCCTCCCAACACATTTGATGACCCTGCAGATCTCACACCGAGATGGCTCAAGTCAAAACAGCTCGACCCCCTTTATGTCCTGCTCTAGAGAGATGGGGAGTTGGGGAGAGTTATAACCTGAGGGAAGACTCGAGTGAAGTAGGAGACACGGAGTACGTTAACCTTTAGAGAAGAAAGCAGGCTCGCAGAAGAATTTGTGGTGAGATCAAGCAATTTAACCTCTGAATTTCTAGATGATAATGTTATTGGAGTTATTTGCATACGTCTTATGTTCTGTATCTCCTGTCTCTGATAAAACTGCAGATAAAACTAACTTTGGTGTCTCTCATTGGAATCTGTCGTCCCACCTTTCCTCCCCTTTGACTATACTTGGGGTCTCAGGGCTTCTCCCTGAAGATTTACCCAGAGGGCAGTGCTACATCTTCTTTTAGCAGTGCGTTAGAACAGCACTTGCCCCTACCAGTCCCAAATCTTCCTTTTAGGAAGCAGTCCAAGCTTATCCAAATATACTTATTGCATCTTAAGATGGCACAGGAGCAGAATTTGAGCAATTCAAGTCACTCCTGAACCAGATGAGGTGGCTGCCGGACAATGAGCCATTTGGTGAAACCCTGGAATTGAGAAGTGATAACCTCTCCCTCTGACCCTAAGGAGGTGGGGAACGAGCCTGTTGCAGGTCAGTCATGTCCTGCTTCCTACAGAAGAGATGTGTTTCTCGTGTCTTTCTGGTGGAAGAAGATAAAAATTTTGTGGAGTCAGGCTCAGGCGTTTCCCAAGTTTGAATGTTCTCTGTTCCTGAGAAGCAGAACTACATTTGCTGGGTACTCTAAGGGAGTGGTTTGAAATCTGCCTTCCGTGCTAGAGTCCTTCCTTGAAAGTGTGATGTCAATAAATGGTAAGAAAAAGCCGCTAAAGGGAGTAGGTGGGACTGCTGTCTTACCAGCATCAGAATAGAGTCTGCACAAAAAACTTTGAAGCACCAGCACTTCTACTGGATAGATTGACAATTGTCTCAATCTTTATTCACCTTATGTGCATGGCTGTCAGTATCTGAGAAGTACCAGTTTAGTGCAGTGGGAAGTGAGCAAGGAATCAATGCCAGAATTTTCAAGTTTAGGGAAAATATGAGAAATAATATCGCTTCGCATAAATGTCATTCACTCTGCTGTGCTGCCTAAATTCAGTATCTAAATAAGAAAGAAAAAAAAAAAAAGGAAAAAAAAAAAAAAAAAAAAAATCCAATACCGGCACTGAAAGAGTTAAACCATAAACATTCACTTTTTCTTTTTATTAAGAAAGCATGCACAAAAATAAACTCGTGAGACCGCGCCCCTCTCTCCCTGACCACTGACACGACCACGTTGGAGGGACCCCCCAGGAGCCCCCACACCCCCCAGCTCCCTCCGGCTGCGAGGGGCCGGGCCCCCCGCACCCCCCACCCCCTGCCTTCCCACACACTAACAACGCACATTTATTTCAGGGGCAGAGGAACGAGGCTAATTTGCACACTGACCGGCATGTATTTACATATGCAAATGAGGCGCAACTTAATATGCCAAAAAAAAAAAAAAAAAAAAGATGCAAATATGCCAATGAGGAGCACTTGGATACGCAGAAGGAGCCGTCTTGCTTGGGTTTTTTTTGGTTTTTTGTGTTTTTTTTCTCTTCTGGTGGTGTTTTCAGAACTTCCACGGGGCCGGCTCTCGGTGCCATCCTCTGGGAAGCACTACCTGGCACCTACCCAAGGGTCTCTCGTGGTCATCTCAGAAACCCATCACACCTCCTTCCCATCCCGAGGCAGCAGCCATAACAGCTGGCTCCACGCTGAAGTTGGCTCTGGGATTTCCTCATTTCTCTTGGAAACAACTTCAATGACGAACTCCCCCTCCCCACCCCAAAAAACACACACTTAAAAAAAAAGAAACAAAACCAAAAAAAAAAAAAAGAAACAAAAATATCTCCTCCCCCCCCAACACAATGAGACTCTGTCCACTTCCCTGACAAAGATCCAATTGGTTTATCCCTACAGCAAATTTAAAAAACAATGCTGGTTCCCCACCCTCCCGCAGAGTAGAGGTTATGGCATCCCCTGCGACGTGACGGTCTATCTCCATCCTGGTTCCCTTCACTGGTCAACAGGGAATAAGGGCTGGGGGGAGGCTTCACTAAATTAATTAAAGAGGTTTGACAGAACAGAGCCGTATCAGAAAAAACGGGGAACACGGGACACAGCGTTGGGGAGGAGGCATCTCACCACTCACTCCTGCTTCTGCACCTTTTCCACCTTCCTGATGTGCAACTGCTGACAAAATTCATCCTTCGGGATTGACACCAGATTCCATCGTCTCCCCGGCTGAACCGCGAGGGGTCCCACCCTCCCTCCTCCCTTTTACACCATAACTCTTTGGCTGTTTGGTTTAAAACTCTGCTCCACTTTGTCCTCTCTCTTCTAACGCACCGCTTCCAATAAAAAACACACCAGGCCCTCCCAGTTCCTTGACCAGAGGGTCCAGCCCCTTGACCAGAAGTCCCTGAATCCACCTCCACGCTGAGCAGCAGCTTCCTCTCCCCAGCATCAGCCCCATCACCAAAGCAGGAACCGCTGACTGAGAACATGCACCCACACACCAGGATTCCTGCTGCTGGCACCTTCCAACCACAGCCAGGACAGTCTCCAAAGAAATACAAGGTGGGGAGGGCCACATCATAACGGAACGAATACTGATGGAGGGGAAAAAAAAAAAACAACCTTCCAAATTTGCATATGCAAGTACGAGCCTCACTACATATTTTAAAGAAGGGCTTCAAGGGGTTGGGGGTGAAATTAAAAGCTCTAGGGGAGGGCCACATCATAACGGAACGAATACTGATGGGGGGGAAAAAAAAAAAACACCAACCTTCCAAATTTGCATATGCAAGTACGAGCCTCACTACATATTTTAAAGAAGGGCTTCAAGGGGTTGGGGGTGAAATTAAAAGCTCTGGGGAACAGAATTTGCTGAATCACATGTGACACCCTTGACTGCTCTTTACCTGATGGGTACGTAAGTCTTCACCTGGAGACTGCAAAAGGCAGTGCAGAAAACAGGTCAGGATTCCCTCAAAACCTCTCTCAGTCCTCACGGATGGCACCGCATTCCAAAACTCAACTTCTCTGCTGAAATACCATCTCTGCTACATCCTCCCTTCTCCAAACTCAGGTCTACCCTCCCAGCTCAGCTCAGCTCTCCCTACCTCAGGGATCACCCCCTCTCTTTGTCCTCGGGAACTCTCCTTTTTCTTGCTTTTCCTGCTGGTGTGAGAAAGTTCACAGAGCTAAGATCACCCCTCCAAGTGTCCCTTTAGCCCCCCTGACCTTCACAACATTTACGAAACAACATAACTATTAGGCTCCCAGGGTCCACTAAGGCTCTCTCACTCCAGTAGCCAATACGACAGATTCACCGGCCACCTTTGAAGGGAAAGAGGGATTGTTAAACGCAAAATGAGGGAGGCAGAGAAAGATGCACTCGAGGATTCAGCCTTCCGAGGTCTTTTCCTGGCACCAAGGACCCATCTTTCCGCCCTCCACAGAGCACCACGCAACACCAAAGAGCCGATCTGATGCGTCCGAGGCCAGCAGAGGAGGGGGAGGGCTGTGCTCAATTATTGCGAATAATAATAATAATAACAACAATAATAATAATAAACAAAAGAAGAAAAAAAAAAAAAAAGAAGATAAAACAGGACGCAAGGAAGGATTATCTTCGGCAGCATCTTGCGGTGGCTTCTCTGGCGGAGATAGAGAATATATATCTATGTACAGGCAAGGCAGGGAGGCTGGGGAGGGTGGTGCTGGCACCATTCACCCCACGTCCCCCCTCCCACGTCCTTCCCAAAGGACGGGCTATCAAGTCTGTAACTCGCTAGGTGATCAAGTCCCAGTCGAAATCATCAGGGATTTCCTCATTGGCACCCGGAGGAGGCCCTGGAGGCCGAGGGACCAGATGGTGAGCTGAGCCAAAAACAAGAAGAGAAAGGAAAAGAGCAGAGTTAGAATAAAAAAAAAAAAAAAAGTCACACTTTTTCACAGCACACACTTGGGTGAAAGAAAGCGTAAGGGATTCAAGCCTTCTCCCTTCCAACAGTCTAACAAGAACATACTGGCATGAATTTCCCCGTCAGACAGCACCTACCAAGGCCTGCAGGTGGTCTGCTGTGAAATTCTCCACAGCAGCTTCTACAGAGGTTAAGTTTCTGCCTCCTTCACTACCTTTACAGCTGACTGTTGACAGAGACCAAGGTCTTCATCAACTACCTTTACAGCTGACTGTTGACAGAGACCAAGATCTTCATCAATTACCTTTACAGCTGACTGTTGATAGAGACCAAGGTCTTCATCAACAGAAGCTTCTCATGTGAAGTTGCCTTCAAGCAACCAACTGAGGGTGAGGCTGAGCTAGAAGACTACTTACGTGCAGTGAAGTAAATCAGGCCACTGAAATCCTAAACCTTGACAGAGCTATGGCACAGCCCTAAACAGAAGGTCCCTTACAGTCCAGGCTCCCTCTCTACCCTCATTTGATTAGTAAGCACTTTGGGAGAAATGCAAAAAGGGCTTGGGAACCAGTTCTTGAATGTTTACTGGTATAATATACCTTAATGTCAGCCCTTACCTGGGCGATTATAACCTGGAGAATCCTGGGTGGAAATCTGGTACATAGGAGATGGCCCGGAGAAGAGATGGGGAGGCTGGGGTTGGCCATAGGAGTTCACTGTGAAAGAATTTCAAACAAAAAAAACACAAACCAAAACAACCTGTTAACATTCTGGTCCATCTGTCTTGGCCCCGACTGGGTGGCAGCTCAGCCACAGAGCAACTCACTCAGACCCACGGGATTCTGAGGAGATAGAAGTTCAGCTGTTGGGTCCTAACTGCAAGCTATAGCTTGGTCAGGGATCGTGTTCTTGGAACCAGCAGGAATTTCTCTATTATTACAAAGGAAGAAAATTTTCATCCAGAAACGCCACAATCTGGCTCAATATCATCCATTGAGTTCAGTACTAGATGACACACACCATCAACAGTTCTATCAAGACCATGCTATCCTCTCTGCTCTCCTCAGAGTGCATCCTCCTACTCCTTGTCCCGTCGGTATTTCTCTAACGTGGGTGCAAGAGCTTTCTTCCTTACAGCTCCTACAGCTCCTGCCATCTGGAAGAGCAATCTCTCTACCTCGCCATTCCTTTCTGTTGGTCAACTTCAAAATACACCACCCCCTTCTCCTTTTATGGGTTTACCTTTTAAATATATTTCTGCCTGGAAAGGTTGCCTGTCAGTGGTAGACCTCACGTAATAACGGTCTGTCTACGCCACAGACATAGGACATCCTAATTCTCTAAAGCTAGAGGAAGCTGGTTGCTACCAACAGCTCTGACAGCCTAGCCCTGGGTTGCTCGGTGCTACGTTGCCTGGCAAGGCAGCAAGCAGTTTAGGATAATTTGCAGAATCTTGGCCTTCATTTACATGCCATTTTAGTCTCCCTCCTAATTACCTTGGTTCATGGATTGCTCCTGTTTGCCACTGTTGAGGGCACAAGACTCAGAGATTCGGGGAGGCTGCTGTGGGCCAACCAGATGAGGGAGCTGACCAGTCTGGGTAAGGAAGTGATTAAGGGAGTCACAGAGATTGGCAATATGGTGTTGATCCAGCGTCCAGTTCTTCCGCTCAGCCTGGCGCAGACTCTCCATCAGCTCTGCCGAGGACAAAGGACAAGGTCAAAGATGGCACTCACACCCTGGTCCTCCCTGCAAAGAGTTTCCTCTTTTCTACTCCTAAATCCTACCTTCTCCCCACCAACCCAACTTCACTGCTTCGAATCTGTCACCAAACTCCTGGAGAGCTCCATATCTAGGATACTGTCCCACTGACTCAGGGAGGGAAGAGTAGGAGGGAAAAATCTCAGTTAGCTTTCTGACATACTTTTATGAATTAACTCCCCCTGACCCAAGTTCCTGCACTGTTCAAGTGCTTCAGGGTCTTAAACAGAACCCACGAAGTAGGACACTTCGTTTTACAAAGAGAAGACTTGAGTCACTGAGAAACCCCTGGACTTGACAGGGTTACATTAAAAAAAAAAAAAAAATATCTGGGCACAGCACCCACATATTCTAGACTAGAGCCCTGGTCACTGAGTCACTAGACCTGGTCACTAGGCCAACACTGACCTGAGAATTGGGAGTGCTCAATGCTAGACCAGTTCAGCCGGTTTACCATCTTGAAGCTTTCCTTCAGGGAATCAATGTTGGAGCACCAATCAGGGGGAAATGCTGAAATGAAACGGGGACAAGATTATTCCAGTACAGACTTTCATAGAATCATAGAATCATTGAGGTTGGAAGAGACCCTTGGGATCATCGAGTCCAACCATCTCCCCTACTCTACAAAGTCCTCCCCTACACCATATCCCTCAGTACCCCATCTAAACGTCCCTTAAACACATCCAGGGACGGTGACTCCACCCCCTCCCTGGGCAGCCTGTTCCAATGCCCGACCACTCTCTCTGTGAAAAATTCCTTCCTAATGTTCAATCTAAACCCACCCTGTTGGAGCTTGAAGCCATTCCCTCTCGTTCTGTCACTAATTACCTGTGAGAAGAGACCAGCACCAGCCTCTCTACAGTGTCCTTTCAAGTAGTTGTAGAGAGTGATGAGGTCTCCCCTCAGCCTCCTCTTCCTCACACTAAACAGCCCCAGCTCCCTCAGCCACTCCTCATACGATTTCCCTCCACCCCTTCATATAAAATGGTCGGCCCCTCTTCACCCAAGAGCCTGACGCTACAGTAGCTAGAAATCCTTTCTCCCCTGGAAGACCGGGGACGGTGCCTTCTTTTTCATTTAGCCCTTGACTTTATCCTGCATCCCTAAACAGAATCCCAAGCCCAGTGTGGGATGTATCCTCCTTTCCTTCAGTAAGGATCCCATTTCAGAGGAACCCAATCCCTCTCAGATTTCAACCGTAACTGGCTTTCACCCATTTTTCCACACACAACGTAGACACTACTTAGAAATTCTGCAGGTTTTCTCTTTCTGGGAGGTCCTCGTTGCTCCCTTTCCCCCAACTGTTCAGAATCACAGAATTTTCTAGGTTGGAAGGGACCTTAAAGATCATCTTGTCCAACCGTCAACCTAACTGACAAAAATAGACACCCACACAACAAACAAGGAGCATCATCACTAAACCATACCTCCCAGCACCACATCAACCCGTCTTTTGAACACCTCCGGGGATGGTGCCTCAACCACCTCCCTGGGCAGCCCATTCCAATGGCTGAGAACCCTTTCAGTGAAGAAATTTTTCCTAATATCCAGCCTGAACCTCCCCTGGTGCAACTTGAGGCCATTTCCTCTTGTCCTGTCGCCTGTGACTTGGGAGAAGAGACCGACCCCCATCTCTCTACACCCTCCTTTCAGGGAGTTGTAGAGAGCAATAAGGTCTCCCCTCAGCCTCCTCTTCTCCAGGCTGAACAACCCCAGCTCCCTCAGCCTCTCCTCATAAGACTTGTGCTCCAGACCCCTCACCATCTTTGTTGCCCTTCTCTGGACCCGCTCCAGCCCCTCAATGTCTTCTTTATGGTAGGGGGCCCAAAACTGGACACAGCACTCAAGGTGAGGCCTCACCAGTGCCCAGTACAGGGGGACAATCACCTCTCAGGCCCTACTTGCCACGCTGTTCCTGACACAGGCCAGGATGCTGTTGGCCTTCTTGGCCACCTGGGCACACTGCTGGCTCCTGTTCAGCCCACAGGAGACCAACACCCCCAGGTCCTTTTCTGCCAGGCAGCTCCAGCCACTCTGCCCCCAGCCTGTAGCGCTGCAGGGGGTTGTTGTGACCCAAGGGCAGGACCCAGCACTTGGCCTTGTTGAACCTTCTATCCCCCTTGGCTCACCAAAGCCAGCGCTGTTGATTGAAGCCTGTGACTGCTGCTGCTGCTGGTGCTGATGTGGCTGCTGCTGTGGGTGGGAGTGCGGGTGATGTTGTTGATGCTGGTGGTAGCCTCCATGCTGCATTGGGGGTGGGTGCATGGACATCACTGGTGGAGGGCCATAACCTTCACCACCTTGCTGCTTTCCCCCTTGGGATGGGCAACCTTCTGGGGTTGGAGTGTGGAGTGGGGGAGCAGCACCCACTGATGAGGGGCCTTGCTGCTGCTGCTGCTGGTACATGTAGTAGTTGTGGTTGGAGGGCTGCATGTCACCAAGGAGAGAAGAGAAACCTGCCAAGTCAAAGAAAGAGGAGGGAGCTTTAAGAGCTGCCTGGATCAGACCTGTGCTTAAATTATCCATCTCTAATTTCACAGTGCTCATCCTTCTATTTATGAAGCTTCTGGAGTACCCTCTACAGGCTGCCAATAACTATCACCTGCACAGTTATGCCCTCACCATGCTCCAGATTCTGGCCAAAACAAAAGGCTCTACAACAAAGCCCCAGCAGGATTTACAATTCTAGTACAGAGTTAGGCACTTAAATTCCTCCCTGGATTTTTACCATATTTACCAAAGTAACCCATGCTCTCCTAAAACTTCATGCACGTGTTGTTTTCCTAGAAATGACCATTAAGCAAATTTAAACAACACCACATTTAGAAAACAGGTAAGTTGATAAATGACTTGCTGTTTCCAAAAGCTCCCTTCAGCTTCTGTGTTATAAGCAGTTTGGTTGAGAACTTCCACAATTTTTCTCACACAGATCATCACAGATCACACTTTCTACTGCTTTTGTACATAAAGCACATGGCACACATCAGGGCTCCTTTATTATTTTCATTCCTTCTGACTCATTGAGAGTGTCACTTCTATCCTTTTGTATTTTGGGCATACCCTACATGCAAGAGCATCAGGTGTTCTCCATGATTCCCCACATCAGGAGCTCAACATCTCTCACGTCTCCTTCCCCAGTTCATTCTCTTCTTATGTCATGAAACCTCTGGGGAAAAAAATCAGTGAAGGGCACAACATGCCACTAACCTGGGCTACCCATGTCTTACTCTTGAGTGCCCTTACTTGACCACCTGCAAGCCAGCTTCAGTTTTTGACTAGATCCAAAAAAATCAAGCCTTAGACCACCCTACTTCTGCAAAAGGATGAATATCCTGACTCAAAAGTTGCCCACAAAATCTCCTCAAAGATTGCAAGTTTTCCTAGACTACCTTACAGCTGAAGACTTGGGGTGGAGGGGAAGGGAAAGACTGCTGCTCAGCTTTTACAGAGGCACACACTGACTCAAAGTTCTTCTCTACATTTTTGTACCTTTCTTATTCTACACCACCTCACAACAACAGCCTCCTACTAGGAATCTCAAGTGTCAGCATGATAAAAGCAGTAATGAATTTTTATTTCACTGAAGCTACAAGTTCAGGAGACTTCTCCTAGAGTAGCAAACTTCACCTGCACTCTATGATGGCTGACAGCATAGATGAGAGGCTCATCTAATACATTCCTTTTTACACCAGACTAATATTTAGAAGAGTGTTTCAAGGTGGGAACAGCAACGGGAGATTTTTCTGAAGTGTTTTCTGTGCCCATCTCATCTCATCTCATCTCATCCCTACAGCAATTCTGCCCTCTGGTGGCTCCTTCCACAGTCCCAGAAATGCAAGCTCTGAATGGAGCTGTAGGCTCTCTCTTCTGCGCTCTCAGTCCACAAAGCTCAATTCTCCAAGGCTTTGTACAATCCTGGTTTTAACAGAGCTGAGCAATGATGACTTTCTACTCTCCTTTCAGAGAAACTCCACTGCCTACACGCAACAATCCCCTCCCTCTTTTGGTTGCTAGCCTGACAGATTGTGAATACTTCTCCGACAAGCTTTTCTTCAGGACTTCCATTTCTCTTCTGCCATTTTAGTATTTCAATCCCCTCCCTCTTTTGGTTGCTAGCCTGACAGATTGTGAATACTTCTCCGACAAGCTTTTCTTCAGGACTTCCATTTCTCTAAGCTTCTGCCATTTTAGTATTCGCTTTTGTATCAACACAAAGTATTTTTAAATCATTATCCTCTTCATTCTGAGAAAAACTGAGGGAAGCAACAGCTAAAGGACATGCACATTTCTTATCTGTTCCTGGCAGAACTAATTACAGCATACCAAAGAAGGAAAGTCTGTTTGCACGGGCTCCTAAACAAGGAAAGATCTGAGAGATACCAAGGATAGATCAGTGGACAAGAACTGCGTGGGCAGACACCTGCCCACCCCACATGACGCATATAGTTACTCACCGTGCTGAGAGGAAGATGATTTCTCCAGCATGGATTTGTAAAGATTTCGGAAGGACCAGCTAAGATCCTGGAAGTTGATCTCAGAGTAGGAGAACTTGAAGTCATGGTTGGCACTGTACAGAGGGGGTGGCACATCGGCCCCTTCACGGCCCTGTCCCCCTGCCACAGTAGAGGCAACATCCACAGGCCCTGCACTCTGCTAAGGAAGGGAGAAGCAAGGCCTTTAATTAGTACCAGGTTTGTAATTGAGACAGGGATCCCGAAACTACATACAAGCAGAACACGTGCTGATATCCCCTATCACTTAGCTCATTTCCCCAACAAATCTTCCCAAATGCTATTTCCCTTGAGGAAAATCAACCAACATCCTTTCTCCTGCAGCACACTGGCTCCAGCCTTTTTCTTCAGCTGTCTAATGCCATTATGCCTTTATCCTTTATCCCCATCAAGCCCTCTGTTAAGATTCGCTTTCTTCTTATTTTCCATCTGTGCAATTTCAGCTGCTTCTCTTCATTTTTGCCCGTGTATCACCGTTTTCACAATCCCCTCTCTTCTCACCACTCTGCTTTTCCATTCATGCCCTCTCCTCTCCACCTCCTTTTCCCTTGCCATCATTTTCCATGCTCACCTGACTGTAGTTGGCAATGGGGGTGGTGCTCTGGAGTGACAGCTGAGGGGTAGCCTCAGGTGGCAAAGAGGCTTCTGTGCTGACTGGAACAGCCCCTCGGGGGCTTTTACTTGCCTCTTGCTCTGGGGAGTCTTGTGGTATCTGTGGATAGGGAAGAAAGAGAAAAAGGAAAGGAGCAGAAATCAAGAACAGATGGAGAAGTGAAACTGCAGATGGGAAGCCAGCCCCCCGACTGTAGAAGATCATGGCTTAGAAAAGAGCAGGACTGGCCTTAGTCATTAAAGAGTCAGGATAAAGGACTTCAAACAAGATTAGCTTTGCTACTGAACAGCGGCGACAACGGCCAACCTGCAGGACATACGTGCTTATTCATTCAGTCCCAGCCTTTGTCCCCCCCGTCTGTAGACCCTGTCCCCAGAACGACACCACGGTCTGGTGCTGGAAGGACTCTGTGGAACAAGAAGGGAATTACGACACCACGGTCTGGTGCTGGAAGGACTCCGTGGAGCAAGAAGGGAATTCCCCCCCCCTCCTGCTCCACGCTGTCTGGGTAGAACAACACTCACGTCATCATCTGGAGGATGCCGCCTCTTGCGAGATATATCCGGACACGTGTCTATTGTCCAATAAGAGCCCTGGAAAGAAGACCCGTTGGTGAATGCATCATTAAACCAGAGAGCGTTCTGAAGCAGAGGGTTCTGACTCAAAGTGTGCAGCACCAACTAAACATTAGGACCACAAGGAACCCTCCAGAACATCAGGCAACAGAGACTTGGGTGTTGGGAAGAGATTCCTCTCTTGCATTGGGATCAAGGAATTGTCAGAGTTGGAAGGGACCTCTAGAGATCATCTGGTCCAACTCCCCTGCTAAAGCAGGATTGCCTAGAGCACATCACTCAGGATGGCATCCAGGGGGGTCTTGAAGATCTCCAGAGAAGGGGACTCCACGACCCCCCTGGGCAGCCTGTCCCAGTGCTCCGTCACCGTAAAGCAGTTTTTTCTCATATTTGAATGGAACTTTCTATGTTCCAGCTTGAGCCCGTTGCCCCTTGTCCTATCGCTGGAAACCACTGAAAAGAGTCTGGCTCCAACATCCTTCAACTCACCCTTTAGATACTTATAAACATAAATAAGGTCTCCCCTCACCCTTCGCTTGTCCAGGCTAAAGAGTCCCAGCTCCTTGAGCCTTTTCTTGTAAGGGAGGTGCTTCAATCCCTTACGGATGTATTGAACAATGAGGAATGATGCTGGTGGTGGAAGGCAGAATGCTCTACTTTCCATCACTCCGAGACAGGAAACCAAAAAGAGCAATGGATGTTTTAATCCAAGCCAGGCCAACACTTTTGGACCTGCACACCCCCTTCAGTACCTTCCTCACAGCATGAATTTGTTAATTGACTGATGAGAACCAACTCAATGTTCAGATGGGGCACAGATAGCTAGAAGGATGGCTCTTTTTCCATGCTTGTGAGATCCCACTTTGAATACTGTGCCCATTTAGGGGGTTCCCAGTGCAAGACAGACACTGATGTGCTAGAATGCATCCAAAGAGGGGCCACCACGATGGTTAAGAACTAAAACATATGATGTACAAAGCAGGTCACGCAGTGAGACCTGTTTAGCCTGGGTGAGAAAAGGCTAAGGGGATCTAGCCATTGTCTTCAACTGGGTAAGGAGATTACAAAGAAGAGGGGCCACCACGATGGTTAAGAACTAAAACACATGATGTACCAAGCAGGTCACACAGTGAGACCTGTTTAGCCTGGGCAAGAGAAGGCTAAAGGGATCTAGCCATTGCCTTCAACTGGGTAAGGAGATTATAAAGAAGACAATTTGAATACTGTGCCCATTTAGGGGGTTCCCAGTGCAAGACAGACACTGATGTGCTAGAATGCATCCAAAGAGGGGCCACCACGATGGTTAAGAACTAAAACATATGATGTACAAAGCAGGTCACGCAGTGAGACCTGTTTAGCCTGGGTGAGAAAAGGCTAAGGGGATCTAGCCATTGTCTTCAACTGGGTAAGGAGATTACAAAGAAGACAAACTCTTCTCAAAAATGCACAGCACAAGGATAAGGGGCAACAAACACAAGTTACAGCAAGGGAAATTACAATCAGATGTAAAGAAAAGTTTCTTCACAATGATGGTGGTGTAGCACTGGAACATCTCCACCCTTGGAGATACTGAAAATTCAGTGATGACCTCAACAACCCCATCTAATTGTCCCTGTCCGAGAGAGAGGCGGGGGTATGTGTTGACCTCCAGAGGTCCCTTTCAACATAAAATAGACTATAATCACATCTGTTGTTTTCTGAATGAGTATAAACAGAACTCTGGAGTGTGATTTAGCTCATTTTAACCTCCAACTGAAATCTGAATAATCAGTGATAAGCACAGGACAGGTTTTCATTATAAACCCAGATCCAACAAGCCAATGAACACCTGCAAACATATACACTGAAGTCAGTCAGGATTTCCTGGAATAAGCCATATAATCAATGGTATTTTTGAGCAGTGATCTTCAAAGATATACTACTTCCATTTATAGACACCAAATGAGCACCACTTGGTCCTTTAAATATAACCTGAAATAAAAGGCCTGCGCAAGTGGCCCTTTCTGGTAACTTTAGGATGCGGGGGAGGACACAATCTTTCTGTCTAAATACATAGCTTCTTGTGCCCACTATCTCCCTCTGATTGTTTGTTTTGTGGTGGTTTGTGTTGTGTTTTTTTTAATAGTAATAACATCTGCATGCCAAGATCCCAAGTCCTGGTTTTGCTAGCAACTCCCCTTTACAATCTATACATACTAACAGAGCTTTGTTAGCCCTTACTTAGCCAACAAACTCCTACATTCTTGAGTTTTACTTGTAAATGATTTCTACAGATATGAACTATCTGATGGTGACGCTTTTTTCCCCCCCAACACCAAATGTTTTGCAGCCTAAATAGGTAGTAGTTCTGCTCTCACTTCCACGGATCTTGCCTCCATAAAACCCATGATGTCACATCATAGTCCTGCTGTTCAACCAGCAGCCACTACGGTCTTTCATAACACAACAGGTTGGACCAGACCTACACTTGACACATAAAGAGCAAGAAGAAAAAGAAACAAAACTAATAAAACTACATTCAATCCCACTTTTTCGTTCTTCCAGTGTCTTATCCAGTACACCGAAGATCACAGAGAAGAAAAATAATTGCTAAATCATTAAGGCCCCCTTAACGGTTCCCTTTAAGTGAATGCTTCTGTAGCCAAAGCACTGCAGTAAATCTTACTACTGCTTCCATTTTTGCCTCCACTTTAGGTTTCAAATTCCAACTGTGAGTTAGAAAGGGCAACCCCGGCTTATTCCCTGCAGTTTTAAATTGCTTGCCCAGGAGCATGCAGATTTCTTACCTTCCCAGGATCATCTCTCGGTCGAGGCACCTTCCGAAAACATTTATTCAGAGAGAGGTTATGACGAATAGAGTTCTGATGAGAGAGTAAGAGATACAGGTAAGTGCTACCATAGAAACACACAGCCTTCTGAGTGGACAGAGAAACCAGAAGGATGGTGCAATCTCAAAAGCCAAAGCTCACTGCATATACCCAGAGCAGAGCAGAAAAGCAGCTGTGGAAAGGAGCAGGATGAATTAGGACGAATAATATGGGGCTGAACCACCTATACATCTACAGAAGGTGCAATGAAAATAGTATCAGTGTGAAGCAGAGGTTGGTAATGATGTGGGTTTTGTGGGTTTTATTTGGGTTTTTTTTTGTTTTGCTTTCTTGGTTGTTGGTGGTAGGTTTTTTTGCACACTCCTTAAGGGGCCACCACATACAGACAACAAAATTCTCAGAGAAAATGGGACTTCTGGCTCCACATTTTCTCCAGTTGGTCAATTTAGTTTTCACCTCTGTCTTCTTATTTTGCTCAGTGAGCATTATTTAGCACACAATTAAGAAAGCAAGTCGTATAATTAGACAAAAAAAGAGTACTTCAGCAATGCAAGTCCTCACCTTCCAACCAATACCAGCGTTTTTGTAGTAGGGAAAGTTGTCACAGATCCAACGGTAGATCTCACTCAGTGTCATCTTCTTGGCAGGTGAGGAGTTGATAGCATATGTGATCAAAGTGGCATAGCTGTAACGTGGCTTCCCGTCTTGATGCACTGCAGCCTCATCCTTGCTCAGGGTAGCATTGGGATCCGTCGGTGAGCCTGGGGGACACTTTCGGGCTGCCCCTGGAGGTCCTGCTTGGGAGGAACCCCCTAATTTTTCAATAGTAGCCCTTAAAGTAAGCTGTGGGAGCCAGTCTATGGAAGTGAGGCTGCTTTCCAGGTCAGAGGCCATGATGCTGGAAGCAGGATTATCTACGAGCAGAAAGGAGCAGAAAGGGAACTCCTGAGATATAAATAAGGTGAACCCCAAGAACAGAAACAGCCATTTGCATTCCTCCTCTGCTTCTCCTACTGCTTCAGCCTACTTCATACACCTTATTCACAGCCAAACAGAATCATCCAAAAAGGCCTACGACTGTGTCTCTGGGAGGACCATCCCTGCTGATAGTAGCTGAGACAAAAAAGCTGCCAGGACAGTCTTACCCAGAGCATCCCAACTGTTCCCAGGTAAAGAACAAAGATGTATTCAAAGGAAGTGGAGCCTTTCAGCAGCTCCATCACATTCACTCCTTTACTATGTAAGCAATATAACCTTGGGAACCCTCCCCAAGATTACCTGTCATCTAATACGTTTACTGCATCAGGTAAGAGGAAAATCACAACTCAAAGGGAATACTCCTTCATGCCATATACAAACCACAATTTAATTCGATTATTTGGAGATGTCAGGACTGTGACCATCTTAACTTGGGGGAAAATTCATTTCTGTCTAAGGCCTAGCCTCTCTTTTTGCATCAGGTGACGTTATAACGAATCCTATTACTTAAGAGCTAGGATTACACATCTCATTTTAAAGCACCAAGATCATACATAATACTATATATAGATAATTACATCTACCAGGTCGAGGTGAACAGACTACATTATGTTTGCACTAGTTAAAGCTTTTCCTACCATAACCCGTTTCTTCTCTAAAATATACATATCACTATATATAGATAATTACATCTACCAGGTCTACCATAACCCATTTCTTCTCTAAAATATACATATAATTTTATTAAATGTTGCTTAATTCACAATGTAACAGGCAAGTATTTTCCCCAAATCCGAGACACAAGAAAAACTTACTTGTCCAAAGTCACACAAGTTTGCCACCAGGTGGAAACAGACTCAGGATCTTTCCTCTCATAAATATTATATATTTCCCCTCATAAAAATAAAACACACCTGTAAACCTGGCTAGTTCTTGTACCCAGGGTTTTCTACTTAACACTTATTTTATATGAAGCAGCATGAACTTGTATGAACTTATACACTTAGGACACAAGCTTGTATGTTGTCTTCTGTCGTAGTCAAGGCAGTGGAAAGATCATCAATCTTGCTCATAATTGGCTGCATCACTACACTAGGAGTAATCCCTTGCAGTCTGGACTCAGGTAGCTAAGTTTCCATGGCCACAACCTGCACGGCTCTGCACTTATTCTTTGCCTAAAGAAAAGAACCACGTCTTGAAGGGCTGCGAGTTCTGCCTCTTTCATTTTTGAAATCAATCTTTTTTTAGAGGATGAGATGGTACTGCCTTTGAGCACGCTAGTGCATACAACAGGTAAACGTACACACACACACGTACACACTCATGTAACACATTAAACACACGCGTGTAAGAGAACAGACTGACACGAACACCCTCTGCTTAGGAAAGATTCATCAGCAGACACCTCCCACCAAGTGCATCACTCAGATGAGCGGATCAGATGAGACAGGGAGACACCCATCTGCATGAATACCAATTAGATACTCATTCTAAAAATAGGTATTTGACAATAACACAGTGTGGATGCACAGCTCCAGAAACAGATGCACCCAGCGTTTTGACACAGAAGCTCCCCATTCTTCCCCCACGACCATATGCATTATACCCTCTGCTTCTGCACTGAAGAGTCTACACTCCAAAACGTGTTTTTAGGCACTAAACCTTTCATTTTCATGCGTGTGCTCATCACGCCTCTTAGTGCTCAAACACCTACACAATCACCCAACAAAATCCATCCCTCAACCACTACAAGCAGTGGCTCCAAAGCCTTGGGCTCAGAAAAATACCTGAAAAGTAAAAACTGCAGCACTGTAGTATCTGTAGCGAGTGGAAACGTTTTTCTGTCTGGGGGGAAAAGGAAAAGCCCAACTGCTACTAACTTATCTCTCTGCTCATCTGCCACGCTATCACACACCATAGCGATGCTACACAGCTCACCAGACCATCCGAGCTGCAAAAGGCTTTTCATTTTCCACCCTCCTCAAGTTGTTATCTATTGAATATAGCTCTTGTTGGCTGATCTATTTCCAAACATTTTAAATTTACAAAAAAAAAAAAAAAATCCATATCCCCTCCTGAATTATACAAGATAAAGCAACAACGTATTTTTATCCAGGTAACCTTGTAACTGAAACACAGCTACATTTGCAGGGTAACTTTACAGGTACAGCCCTCACTAAAAGTACTATTCAACTTGAGAGAAAAGAAACACGAACTAAATATCAGTTGACTGCCTGATTTTGTAAGTGTGCCTTTTAATTTCCACACTGCATTCAGAGAACAAATTACTTCTGTTTATCATATGCATGATAAACCATTATGAAATATCAATTTTGCTAACAATACAAATCCAAGGTAAATACAAATTTCCCAGCCACCCCTGCCTGTTCGTTTTTGTGTTTTGGTTTTTGTTCGGTGGTGGTTTTTTTAAAAACAAGCACAGAAATCAAGAACATTAGGTTATGAAATCCTATGGCAGATTAAGATATCAATCTGAAACACCAGAAATTCAAGAAGCAGAAGGAGACACTGCAGTTTTCACAAAGCTTCAGATTTGCCCAGATTATGTCAGTAGAGCACTTGAGATGACAGGCTATGCAGTAAAAAGAAAGGTTGATATGCAACGTGCCCATTGTCAAAGACACAAGCTTTTGTGTATTTGTTTAAAATACACTTGGTCAGGTAGACAAGCAAGGTTAGAATCGGGTCACAATACATCCACGCTAAGAATCTGAATATTTTCATTTCCTGGTTCATAAAAAGCTTTGACAAGGAAACAAAATCATAGCATCATAGAATGGTTCAGGTTGGAAGGGACCTTAAAGATCATCTAGTTCCAAGCTCCCTGCCCTGGGCAGGGACACCTCCCACCAGACCAGGTTGCTCAATGGTCTAGTGGCTCCAGCCTGGCCTTGAACCCCTCCAGGGATGGGGCATCCACAGCTTCTCTGGGCAACCTCTTCAGTGTCTCACCACCCTCACAGCAAATAATTTCTTCTGAATATCTAGTCTAAATCCTCCCTCTTTCAGTTTAATACCATTACCCTTTGTCCCATCACTACACTCACTCCCTGATAAAGAGTCCCTCCCCATCTCTCCTGGACTGGCCCCCTCTAAGTACTGGAAAGTATAAGGTCTCCCTGGAGCCTTCTCCAGGCTGAACAACCCAAACTCTCTCAGCCTGTCTTCATAGAAGAGGTGCTCCATCCCTCTGGTCATCTTCATGGCCCTCCTCTGGACCCATTCCAACAGGTCCATGTCCTTTCTGTGCTGAGATGGACACAGTTCTCCAGGTGGAGTCTCACAAGAGCAGAGCAGAGGGGCAGAATCACCTTCCTCGACCTACTGGCCACGCTCGCCTCTCTTGATGCAGCCCAGGATGGGGTTGGCTTTCTGGGCTGCAAGTGCACACTGCCAGCTCATGTTGAGCTCCTCATCCACCAACACCCCCAAGTCCTCCTCAGGGCTGCTCTCTAGCCATTCTCCACCCAGTCTGTATTTGTGCTCGGGGTTGCCCCAACCCACGTGCAGGACCTTGCGCTTGGCTTGGTTGAACTTCAAGAGGTTCACACGGGCCCACCTCTCCAGCCTGTCCAGGTCCCTCTGGATGGCATCCCTTCCCTCCAGCGTGTTGAGCACGCCACACAGCTTGGTGTTGTCAGCAAACTTGCTGAGGGTGCACTCAATCCCACTGTCCATGTCTCCAACAAAGATGTTGAACAGCACTGGTCCCAGTACTGATCCCTGACTAATGCCACTCGCCACTGGCTTCCACTTGGACATTGAGCTGCTGACCGCAACCCTTCGAGCGCAGCCATCCAGCCAGCTCCTTATTCACCAAGTGGTCCATCCATCAAATATGTGCCTCTCCAGTTCAGAGACCAGGTGATGTTGTGTGGGACAGTGTCAAATTTCGCTTTGCGAAGTCCAGGGAGATGTTGTGTGGGACAGTGTCAAATGCTCTGCGAAGTCCAGGGATATGAAGTCTGTTGCTCTCCCCTTAAAAATCCCCATATCTTAAACCAAGAATTTCTGTGTATACATATGTCCTAACCACCCAGTACTGAAACAACTACTTTTCAGTAAAATACAGCAGCTCTTATAGAGCATACACTAGCCACATACACTAGACAGTAATTTAGGACAGAAAGCAAAGACTCACACCCAGTAACAATCCCATGGGAAATTTCAAAGCATTGGAATATGATTTTTTGCCCCCCAAGTTTAAACTTCATAACGTTACTGGATTTGTAAGTCTGTATCCTAGCAATATGGAATCTGTAACAATTAAGCACAGTCAAATCTTAGGTGAGGTGGCAATTCCAGAACATGTCAGTGCAAAATGATTTGGTATAATTAGCCAGTAAATTATTTGAAAGAATACTTACTATAACAGTAATACTTGCTATAATTTACACTGCATATCTTATTTACCTGATCCAAGCAGTACATTAGCCCAACACTAAATGGTATGAGAAAACAAGACTGCAGCCAAAACAGAGCAGCTGATGATTCTTCCAACTTTCCCTTCCCAGTTTATTGCCTGGCAAATCTTCTTTCAAACTCTTCTTTTATGATCCCACTCAAACAAAGAAAAAAAAAAAAAAACAAACCAAACCTAATGACTAACAAACACACTGAACTGAAATCAAGGGTGTTTAAAAAAAAAATTCTACCACATTAGCAAGCCAGAATAAATTTTGAATATGAAAAAAGAAAGTTGAAGAGCAGAATTCATGATCTCCCACTTTACATAGTAAATGGTATCTGTTTATGTACTTGGCTGACTTTAAAAATCAAGGCCAAGGTAGCCAAGTCATAACCACCGTTAACAGCTGGAAACTGACTGCAGAATCTTCATTTCTCAAGCATTAACTAGTTCCAGTACAACCCCAAGTCAAGACAGGTCAGAGAGATGCAAAAACGACAGCCAAGG